CCCGCCCCCGGCGCCATCCTCGGGTGGATCGTCCTCCGCGGGCACGGCAGGACGGGGTCTGCCGCACGAAGGAGCCAAAAATGGTGGCTCCCCCGCCGGGGAAGGACTCAAAGGGATGACGGGGGCTTCAGAGCGCCTGGCCGAGGTTCTCTGCGCGTACAGCCGCGGGGGGGTGGGTAGATCCATGGAGGGATGGATGGATGGATGGAGGAGAGGGAGATCCATGGATGGATCGACAGGTAGGTAGGTAGATAGACAGATAGATGCACACACACATAGATACATAGATGGATAGATCAATGGATGGATAGATAGATGGATTGGTGGATGGATGGATAGGTAGGTAGGTAGACTGGTAAATAGATAGGTAGATACACACATAGATACATACACAGATGGATAGATCAAAGGATGGATGTATGGATGTATGGATGAATGATGGATGGATGGATGGGTGGAAGGATGGATGGATGAATGGGTGGAGGGATAAATAGGGAGATCCATGGGTGGATGGATAGGTAGGTAGGTAGGTTGGTAGATGATAGATACATACATAGATGGATAGATGGATAGATCGATGGATGGATGGATGGATGGATGGATGGATGGGTGGATGGATAGATAGACAGATAGATACATACATACATACATAGATGGATAGATCGATGGATGGATGGATGATGGATGGATAGATAGGGAGATCCATGGGTGGATGGATAGATATATAGATACATAGATGCATAGATTGGTGGATGGATGGATGGACAGATAGATCAATGGATGGATGGATGGATGGATGGATGGATGGATGGATGGATGGATGGATAGGGAGATCCATGGGTGGATGGATAGGTAGACAGATAGATACATACATACATACATAGATGTATAGACTGGTGGATGGATGGATGGATGGATGGATGGATGGATAGATCGATGGATGGATGGATAGAAAGGGAGATCCATGGGTGGATGGATGGATGGATAGATAGATAGACAGATAGATAGATAGATACATGCATACATACATAGATAAATAGATAGATGGATAGATTGGTGGATGGATGGATGGATGGACGGACAGACAGATACATACGTACACAGATACATACATAGATGGATAGACTGGTGGATGGGTGGATGGATGGAAAGGGAGATCCATGGGTGGATGGATAGATAGACAGAGAGATACATATACATAGATAAATAGATAGATGGATAGATTGGTGGGTGGATGGATGGACAGACAGATACATAAGTACATAGATACATACATAGATGGATAGACTGGTGGATGGATGTATAGATGAATAGAAAGAAAGAAACAAACAGAAACAAAGAATGTCCCACAGAAACTTTACTGTGTTTTTCCCCCCATTGCAGTTGCTGCTGCAAGCTGGGACTCTTGTCCCAAAAACAATCTGTACAAACGCGTGAGAAATTAAAAACAGCAATTTGTAACTACAACGAATTTCAGGTGGCATTTCAACTCAGAAGAGGCAGTTTCACGGTGCCCAAGCATTTTCATATTCTCTGGGAAGTTCTTTCCTTGTAGAGATTGTAGGATCCCTGCCTTCTCTAAGGTGCACTGTTTCCCCAGACAGCCCACTGCAGGCAAATTGATAATTGGATTTCATAGAGAGGGAATAACAGAAGAGCTGTGAAACTCAATTGATTTCATAGAATCGATAGCAGAGCTGGGTCTTACCCTGAGGTCTGACAAATCTTAGGCTAATATCCCTAAATACTAAACCATTCTTTCCAAAGATACCTTGTTGTAAATTCATTGAAAACATAGAGTTAATGCAATTAAACTGTTGTAACTGAAAGAAAGGCTTCAGCTCATCCAACTTCTGCTAATTGTTTTAGTGAGAGACAAATGGCTTTGCAACCAGTTTTCAGATTTGATTTTAAAGGCAGTAGCAGTAGCATCACTTTTGACAAAACAAGCTAGCAAGTATGACTGAAAACAGATGGGCTTTGCAGAGTCCTCATGATTTTCAAACATCTTGGATGGAATTCATGACTCTCATAGGTGGCTGCATAAAGCAGAGCTCTTCAACACCTGAGTCTGCCCAGTATCACCCATAATGATGACCCCATTTTAGTCCCAAGCACCTTCACCGGGTTTATCATCAACATTAATTACCTATATACCAAATTTGCATTTATTTTTTTTTTCAGAAATGAAAGTGTTGCTGTCAATTATTTTGTGAATACTGAAATTTATATAAAGGTCATTTTACACTACAAATTACTTCACTGAAGAAATACAGATGACTTGAACTTGTTCCTTTTTCTGTCAATCCAGTTGATACCTGGAAGGATAAAAAGAATCTACATATTACAGCCTGATCTGGCATTTAGTTAATAGCTTTTCATCTAATGCAAGTTATTTTGTTTAAAAGATTGTAAACAAAAACAGTGGTTTCAAAACAAAGATAACCTTCACTTCAATTATGGCTATAGCTTAAGAAAAACCCAGCAAACTCGCTTTCGGACGCCAGAACCCTCCTCGGTTCTAAAGAGGTAATAGCAAACTCCATGGACATTACAAGCCAGACACATTGTCTCTAAAACACCAAGGTATTTTCAAAGCATGCCTCAGACCACAACACCCAGAACGACTGCATTACTTCTAATTATTAAAATTAGGTCTAATATAATAGAAGCCTCAACTGAAAGGCTCAGTAACAACGCAGATGCGAGTACAATGTAATTATTTTTAAATAGAGTCTCAAACAGAAACAGGCTTATGAGGTACAGGCTTTTCCCAGTACGACAGCCAGGCGACCTACAGCTGCCCAGAGAGGGGGCTTGGAACTCCAGCCCGCTGGGAAAAGGTGTCCAGGGTAGGAAGGGGCAGTGGGAAGCAGTCAGAAATAGTTAAGGTTGGTGGTTCAGGTCAGGAAGCCCAGCCACTTCCTATGGGAAGTGCTTCCACTGATCCAAGCAGGAGCAGTCTCAAATCTTAACCACGTGGCACAAACCACAAGGGGAATTAAAACTTCAGAAAGAAAAGTGTAGTACAAACCTCTGGCACAAAGAGCTAGAACACAAAAATAGAAACTAGGCAAGCTGGTGCTGGTATCGTCTGAGAGCATGGGGAGCAAATACCAGGTATTGTAGTTTTGCAGTTCAGGAAAGTCCCACCCTGACCAGAAGGATCAAAAATTGCAGCTTCCATGAGATCAGAGGACAGCTGTGCTGGAAACCTTGCCACCCACAGCTTTAAAAAATCCATTTCGCATTGTGCATTGATAGGAGTAAATAAAATTGATAAGGACGTATAAACCAGCAAGTTTCCTGAACACAGAATAGTCCATTTTTGCTACATGCAAGGGATTATTATGCTTTTACTGTGGAGAGAATGAAGAGGAATAGTAAAGGCCAGGTCATAGTTTTGTTTCTATTGAATGGAGATTTCTCCTACCTTAACATTTTGCTACCAGAAATTATGATTCAGTATTTTTATTACATCAAAACCTATAAATAAATTATATCAATATTCATAGTCATCCAATATGAAGTACAAGCTTTCAAAATCATAACTTCCAGGAATGCTTCTAGCATTTGACAGAGAACCTGACCCTTCAAGTGGCACAAATCCCTGCAGATGAATGTGAATTTGCATAATTAACACAAAAGCAGAGCTGTATTTATTATGATACATAACTGGGAAAAAAAAAAAACATAAAAAAAAAATCAGAGAAAATATAATATCTAAACAAAGTTTCACAGTTCCAGTGAACTTAGGGTTCATCGTGACTTCACGCTCTGCTGGACAGAAAAACCTTCATCGACTACTGCTGGAAAAGAATCAGCTCACTCAAGGAGACCAAGCGCACACCAGTCCTCTGTCTGGTACAATAAGTGACAAACCGACGTCATTATTAAAAGACAAATAATGCTGACTACATAACAACCCAGCAGCTGTTTCAGGAGGCAGCTGGGAAGTCTGGTCCAGCAAACTACTGAGACTAGCAACTTTTGGTGGGACTTAAGAACAAGATGAAGGTGGTTCAGACAAGGGCTTGGGGTTATTTTGGTTTTCAGAGATCTGGCTCCAAATATTGCAATTATGAAGCATGAGAAATAATTTGTGGGAAGCCCAAATGAAGTCAAAAAGAATGCCTGAGTTTTATAAGTAAACAGTAACTAACATGTTCTCTAGCAAATAGCTGGTCTATTGATTTCAGGCTTTTATGTCAAACAAGAACACAGACAAATATGTAAAACATTAACTAATAGCAAGAGGTTGAAACAGTTTATATCCAAACTCAGGGTAAAATGGTTTCATAATCACTTAAAATGTACTTATATATACACAAAAAAAAATTTAAAAAAGTATTAAAATACTTTATTCTTAAATATACATACAAAACTGTTTTTATTTATATATAGGAGATAGTTTTTGGAAATGCAGTTTTAAATCGTTACTGAGAACCTTGAAACTTCTGAAATACTCATGATAGCCTTAAAAAATACTTCTCCTACAGGTCACAGGTGCATCCTTACATCCATTATCTCTACTGACTTCAGATACAACATTCAGCTGTATGTAGAGTGCATGCTCCAGATTCTCACAGAGTGCTACACAATAGCACCAGTGGCCAGATGGAGAATCCTTCATGTTTCTGATTTACAAAAAAAACCCCAAAAGATGGTTAAGTACTAATTCCACTAAAAAAAAAAAAACTATGTCCAAGTAACTACTTTATAAACTGCCTGGTCAATTTGGCTTTAAATGAAGATTTTTTACATAATACTTTAAAAGCAAATATTTAACATAAAAGGTATTTATGCCACCTGCTTATAGGCACACAATACACAAATTGTTTTAAGTTCTTTGTGGTATTTTTAGGGACAATTAACAGATTCGTAATTCCCAACCTCACAAATCCGAACCATTTTGAATTTACAATTTTAGCCACCATTTCACAGTGATTAGCTTTAGAGTTTTAGTTTTTAAAAGGGAACATGTAGCATTTTAATGCTGAAGAAACTGATTGCATGTAATTGTTTGATCAAACCAAAATCACAAATTAAGAACCATGACTGAAGCAATAGACCTTAAATGTTCGGGAGAATATCTGAAAAATTGCATAGATTAATATATTACCTGCTATTATTCTGAAGTGACAAAGTCTGTATAAATAATGTACTTTCATTGTGCAATTACTTGTGCAATATTGCAACAGCTAAGGTAATCTCATGCTATTTGCTCAGTAGAAAATTTCCATTTGAGGATTCATGAGTTTCTTTGTAACTGTCAAGCAATGGGACTATGGAATTTCTACAGATTTCCTGGGTTCCAGAAGTCTGATGACAGAGTGAAATGAAGTTTCCCCCAGTCCTCAGTTCAGCCCAAATCATCTTGCATAGTTCCTGAATGTGAAAAATATCTTCCATTGCTGCATCACCCTCTGTCCTCTTCACTCTGGAAATGGAATACTCATTGACAAAAAAGAGTCCATATCAAACAGGAATCTCAGCTAACACTGTAAATAGTGAATTAAAGGCAAAATGTTTTCATTGAATCCATTTTTTTGAAAAGGTGGGTTTTCATGACCACTGCACAATGTTAAGTTTTCAACATTTGAACTTCTCATAAAGATAAGCACCGTATGTCAGATTCTACTACCTAATCTCCCAGAGACAGCTGCTGCACTTTCAGAAATTTCTTTTAAATCAGAACTGACACAAGCATGTGCATGCAAAAAAAGTAATAGAAAACAGTGTTTTAAGAAAATAAAATTTACTGGTTCATTTAAAAGCAAAATTTACTCCCATTGTTGACCAAATGACCTAGGCTTAAACCCTAAACTAAAACAATTTAGGTTATTTCATTCTTCTAAATGCAGATTTTATGTTGCTTAAAACCACTTCTCCTAAAATTTGCTTAGATGTTTAACATCATCTTCATCTCTACAACCTATTAGATAAGTTTCATTTTACAGAACTCCCATTTATACACAAAACAGTAATTAGTGAACTAATAATTATATAATTATTATATTCAGCTCTTGACTGCCTTCTCATGGCACTCGGGCAAGTGTAAAAATATAAAGACAAATACTGCTTTATTTTTCACGCCATAATGAAGTGCATCTTCTTATTATTCCTGGTGCAAAACAATATGATTTTCTGTACCACACGGGGCAAATCAGCTGCCTGTGCAAAAGGACAGGAACAAGAAGCTGCGGGACAAACCCTAGGAGTTTTAAAACAATTATATTCTTTTAGTTTTATGTTCTCACATTTCTCTAGGTCTTGAGAGCAACCTGAGTTGGACTAGACATCCCCTAGAGGTCTCTTCTACAGTGTATTATTCTATGATCTGTGATCATAGCAATAAAGAATGGCTGTATTTAAATACTTCTCCTAGAGATGTTTCTGGCCTCATTTTTGAATCTGAAACTTCCACTACCTTTGGGAATGTCATACCTACACACACTTAGGCATGAACTGATGTTTTTCCTATAAACCCATTTTTTCCACTTCCATTGCAATACGCTGGTAATAAACACTGAAAAAAAAAAATTGTACTCAAATTTTTTATTAGCTCAAAACAGTTTACATTCTACAATGAGATTGTGATACACAATAAAACCCATGTGCCAGGAACCCTTTTTATGTAGTACAAACTGAAGGGAACCATTCTACCAGCGCATCAGAAGTTTCCAAAAATAAAAGTCTAGCGACAAGTGATGCAAGCATGAGGCAGGAATACTAAACAGCATGCAATGCTTTAAAAGGTTACAAAGCCTACATTACTTTACAAAAAATTCACAAACTATACTGAGGCATCCAAAACCTATTTTTAATCTTGCAAGTGTAAAGTCCGAACACTTTAGAACTATTTCAAATGCTGCTAACGCTTTGGATACTTTCTTGTATTTCAGAGCCAGATCCTACAGTATCAGTTCCAAGGCGGTTTACAGACTGTAGTCTACTTTGGTCTCCTCTTGCTCCATCATTGGGAATTGCTGTTTCATTTGCTCTAGGGATGTATTTCTTCGAGGAACAATTTTTGCTTTTTTCACCAGAAGCATCACTGGATATTCTGCTACCATTACTTTTAATATGTACACTGGAATCAGAAAATGAATGAAGACTGGTAGTGAAATGCCTTGCTGAGTGATGTCCTTTTGCGTGCTCATTTTGTTTGACTCTCCTCTCAGAGAATGATGGACTACTATTTCGAGGCTTATCCTCTTTATTTTGATTAATTGCTTGAGCTTCATCTTCCCTCCATGAGCCTAGCTGGCACTGTTGCCCAGCAGTCTGGAGTTCTTGTATTTCTCTAAGAGCAGAGAAGGCATTATTCACAACCATCTGGGACTGAAACGTGCCAGGAAGAGAGACTTGGATGTCCCCAGCTCTGTTCTGAAACAAGAGATTCCAGTGAAGATACTGATGCAACTACAGAAAAAAAAAATCCAGTCCTGCAACTGCTGTATTCTAAAATCTGCATAGCAAAGTAAACTCTTTACATAACACAGAAAAGATTCACACAACATTTACTACCTTTCAAAGCAAGCAAGTTTCACAAGATTGCTAGGGTGATAATGACACTGAGTAGGCACATTACAGTTTCACACCCAGCCTGAACTTTGTACTACAGAAATGCGTCAGTTAATACTGAAGCTGCCAAAGCCTAATGGTGTCTCTCGTTCTGAAATGCCTGCAACTCATTACGTTTGATCACAGTGGTGTGGTCGCAATAGTCTATCCCACAATACCTCGCTGCCGCAAGAATCCAAACTAACCAATACTAGGAAATAAGTGTGAGTGGTATAACTGTTAGTTGAAGCTTTTTGTAATCATCCTTTGCCACGTATACTTAAACACCTTAAGTTCAGGCTTCTAAATGTAGCTCAATTAGAAAAACAATGATTCAAACAAACTGCATGAACAAGTTAGTGTCACAGTGAGAAAAGTCCGTCAGCTGAAAACACTGTGGCAAGCCAAACGATAACAAATGTCAAAGAACCTATAATGAGAATTGCTCTATTGCTCTGAATAATTTCAGAAAATTCAAACTACAAAACTGGCAATTGCTTTTCACACCATTGAAAAAAAAAAAAAACCAACACTTTTTACCATCATGTTTTAGAAGCTCATGGTGTTCTTGAAGAATTTGGAACACTTAATGGGGAAGATATTGGGTATAAGAAACATACTGGAACACAGGATAATTCCTAATAATTCCTAGCAGGACAGTTTTATCCAAGCTGGACAAGGCAGTAGGCTGCCAGAATCTAAATTTTTAATTGCCTTAAAAACTTAAGCCTGGTCTTTTTTTTTTTTTTTTTTTTTTTTTTTTTTTTTTTTTTTTTTTTTTTTTTTTTTTTTTTTTTTTTTTTTTTCAGGGAACTTGAGTCTCACTTGAAAAATCCAGAAGCATTTCAATTTATTGACTTCAGAGCAGAACTAAAACCTTATGTTGTTAATAATGCGAATTTGTAGTTGTTTGAAATTCATGGCATGGCCCACAGAGAAATCTGACAGGACTGGACATACACACTGCAATTACTTAAAAGAGAATTCATGCTTTTCAATAGGCATATTGTACTACCCTCTACTATAAGACTAAGTTTTTTTAAACCAATATACATCATTATTAAATGTTTCTAAAAAACTGAGTCATGGTATTTTTCCATTTTTAATGGATGCATACCACTAATGTTATACAACATAAAACAACATAATTACCATCAATACTTCCTATAGTACATTACAAAATACTATGGTTACTGTTCCAAATGGTAGTAATTTAAAAAGCTTACATTAATCATTGAATTACTATGATCTGTATAAATACAGCTACAGCAAAAGACCGTACAAATAACTTCCTGGATCATTTGGCAATCATTACTTTCAGTCAGAGGGGGATAACAGCTGAAAAATACATTAAATAGCATCAAGTACATTGCCACTAGCATTCCCTCCATAGACTTACTTTGCTATTCTGGATATGTTCTTGTCTTTCTTCTTCAAAAGACTTCTCCTTTAGCACGTTAGCAGGCTTACTGACAGTAGAATTCATTTGTGGACGGCCCAAAAGACCAAAATCTGACTGGTCTATCCCAGCTAATACAGCAAGTTGTCCAAGTCTGCAAAATAAAGTTTAATAGAAAATGACACAAAAAATCCTTAGCCTGTGAAAGACCTAAACATTCAAAACCAGAAGAAACAAAATCTGTTTGAAGCTTTAAAGACAGTTTTTCCATTATTTTCTGAAAAGCCCAAAATAGCTTTATAAAGATGAAAACAGGTAGCTAATGATATTTTGCCATCTTTGCACAAATTAGCCTGCAGGTTCAAAACTGTCAGTCTTCACTCAGCGTTGCGAGACAAAGAATGAAGTTCTCCCAGTTAGCATTGATCTCAGAGCCGGATGCTGGCAAGCAGATTCCCTGCCAGGCAGAACAGAGTAAAACCCTGTCAGTCAAGCAGAAGATTGGTGCACATCTCCCAAACTAGCATAATCTGTAACAGGCAAATCCAATTAAATGCTTCACAAATACAGTCATGGTGTTTCACCTGCCAGCTTACAAGTTGGCCAAACCTATCACTTGGGTGTTTTAAGCCTCAATAAGAAGTGCGAAGTTGCAGCCATCAATTGATCACACAACATATTATATATAGAAGCTTATTGAGAAGAGCAGTCTTGGGGATTGGGATTCTCTGTTTTTCAGAGCGGCACCCTATTACCATGAATAGATGCAGGGCCCATCTGAAAATATTTGGGTTTTTATGTTATGTAAAAGCATTTTTCTCCTCTAAAGTTTTAAATTCATTCTTAAAGTAATGGCAGCTCTACCAATTGATTGGCACAAAATTAGAATAGTCTCCGGGTAAACTTTACATTAAGTTATGTTATTCCACTTCGGAGAGGGATGGAAGCAGGAGACAGGGAGGGTAAATAAAATCTTTTGTGGTCTTCTCTGAAAACGCAGAGTAGACTACGATATATCTTCATTTCATTCCTTCATTCTCCTGGATGAGATTGCCATGCCTGGCTACATAAGCTTTACAAAACAGGTTTGAGAACTTAAGCTGAAATTCTTTGACAAATCACAAGGACGAACCATCCTCTGAGAAACTGAAGGTACAGTGGTAGAGCCTTACAACAAACTTTCATGAATACTCTCTAAAATATTTCAAGTAATAATAAATAATCCAGAATTTAAGTACAGAGGCCAGATACATCTATCTAGATTTATATACTTCAATTAGTAAGAGGGGGCCCAAGGCAACAGGATGCTTTGTGAAGCCAGTTCAACTGCATTTTGAGCCTTTCATATCATGGGAATGCTAAAAGCCATAGGTGATGCAATAAAGACTTGGAAACATGCTTTAATAGAAGCTTTCTTCTCCTTTGGAATGGGCTTCTTGAAAGCCTTTCCCAAAGCCAGATATATTAATTCAAAAAGCTGAACAGTGCTTGGACCATGTTTTTCCCACTGAAGAAAGACTGAACAGTAGGTACACAGTTAATTTCTCTTCCTTTGTTCTTTGCAAGTACAGTCCTAGAGATCTGTGGGGAGAAGGCAGCATATTTCATTGGGAGGATAATTTCGGAAAGAGAGAGATCTCAACAGAAACAGTAAGACTTAAGTAAATTGATAACATACCCAGCATCTTTAAGGAGGTCTAAAAAAGCATGAAACTTTTGGAAAGAGCTCTCAATGCTGCCTAGAACACCTTCGTCTTCCAAAATCATGTTGGTTACTGACTGTGCATGAAGAACGTCAGAGAGGGAAGTATTTATATTCCTTAACCTTGCATTTTCAATTTCCAGCTATGGGGGTGGGGGAAAAAAAAAAAAAAAAAAAAAAAAAAAAAAAAAAAAAAAAAAAAAGACATATTCAGGGCACTGTTACATTGAGGTTGGTGCAGGTTTGTTTATCCACAGCTGCAATTCTATGCTACCACAGTGAAATTGCTGCAGGCACTCAAAAGAGAACAAAAAAACTATAGATGTTTGTAGCGCACTGTAGCTATTAAACTAGCATCAAAATGAACAATTTTAGAGATCACTGCTACTTAGTTTATCCCTTCTCCTGAGACAAGGTGCTAGGCCAAGCAGTCTAGCATGACAGAGAAAGATTTCTCGCAGTGGGTATTTAGCCTAAAAACCATTTAAGTATTCAAACAACAGATATTCAGCAGAGCCAACTGGTGCACTTGACATTACAGGAGGATGGGGATGGTGGCACCAGAGGACTACAATGAACTTTGTAGAGTATACACTCCTTTGTGGATATACGCTCCCTCTACTGTGGAGCACCACTTCTTCCTCAAGTTCCAAAGGTACCACCACTTTCATTCCACTCCAGATCACATCCCAGAACCAAATGCATTCATTTACACCATCTTACACCCAACTCAATTACAAGAAATTCTACTTATTGATGCAAAAGGATCTTTTTGGTCTAGGTCAGCAACAATGGACGGAGGGGAAATGGACCTCACATTTTAACTGTGACAAGTCACTAGTTTGGTTTCATTGTAATGCAAAACTGCACTTCACAACAACAGATGGCTACGGCCAACATGCTGTGCAGAAAACCATCTGACATTTTTATTTCCAGCAGAAACAAAACTTAAAAATCAAAGGGACAGAATAAGGCAAATTAAACAGTTGCAACAAAGAGCTTTTCAGTGCAAGTCATCATAAAGAACATGGGAGACCTCAAAGAACTACCCATCTGCTGCAAACTGCAAACAGATTTAATCACTTTCTCAAGAAAAGCAAACATGAGGATGCCCCAGATCATAAGTAATACACCAAATGAATGAAACGCATTTAAAGAGTAGCTTGACCCAGAGTTCAAGGCTCTGGAATAGTATCAGTAGAACAAACACACATTACCTAACACAAATTTCGTCATTGCCCTGAGGCTAGTAAATGATCCATGTGACTTTGAACTGAAATTCTGGAAGCTATCACATTAGAGGTCACTGATAATTACTCCTAATTTAAGCAAGTGGATAGTTTGACTGGTGCCTCCTTTAAAAGTAAAGATGATTAATAGTTAAGTATCATTACCTCCATTATCCGTTCCTCAGCCTTTATTCTGGCTCTTTGTTCTTCCTTTAATTTTTCCATGCATTCTTCCAGCTCCAACTATCATAACACAGATAAACCATCATGAAATTTATCACAAAATGTCAGATCAACATGCAATATTATACAAATACTCAACACGTCCCATTAACAACTAGCACATGGCATTCCAAGCAATAACATATCTTCTACAAAAATACGTGTCAGAAGTCTACTGGTACATAACTCTAGGATGCAAAAAATTAGCACAGGAAAGTGGAAATAAGGGTGATGGACTTAACAGATTTGTAATATACCAATAGATAACACAAGATTATAACACAAGTCTCTTGGGCCTATGACACTACCATCAGGAATGTATGTTCTTCTCTACTTCCCTCTTCTTCCCCTTTGTCTTTCCAAACCTCATTTTTAACTAGATACATCTACCTCATCAAAAACACAAATTAGGCTCTAAAAAAAAACCTTAGTAGCCATAACCAGATTTTCAAAATGTATTTTTCATCCAGGATTTTATTCTGTATTGCAGTAGTAAGAGAACAAAATTATGAACCAGAAGAACTGTACTCTTTCCAATTGTTTTCACTTGGTTCTTCAACAGAAAAAGTTTTTCACAATCCCAAGCTGTTTGAGTGAGTAAAAGAGCTTAGTGCTGAATTAACAACAACAAAACCAAACCTAAACATCTAACAAAACCCAAACATCTAGTCTTATTCATCAAATCCTACACTTGTATTTTAACTTTTAGTTCTAAGTAGTGAATTTCTCAGCTTCTGTGAATAGCAGTCAGGATTTGATAAGCAAACACCACATTTTCTCATAAGATAGCAGTGCATTATCATCTTTAGTTACAGCACCTGAAATGGAAGAACAAATAGGAATTCTTTTCTTGCATGCCTTAACAGAGTCTTCTGGTTTCTAAAGGTGAAAACGGTAAAAATTATCAAGCTGCTCTATTTATTAGGGGGTAACCCATATGAATTAACCATATGAATTAACAGTGTACAAAGAGTCTTCATTTCTCTATACAACTTGTATACAGGCACATATATGTAACACTGCTAACACTGTAAAAAGCAGGATACTGCTTTTTGTACACACCTCATCAATCAGTTCTACAAAGGAGCAAAGATCCAAATAGTACTGAAATCCTTTGTTTACTGTCAAAATCTTATTCAAGAGCCTATTACTGCACTTCATACAAGCAATAAGCTGAGAAGACTGGTGTGCAACAGAATGCATAGTAAAAATATTCCTACAAATACAAAGACGTCCTAGCAGGTCCTGTATGATGTGAGGGACTTTTGCATCTGATACAAAGATGCAGGTTGTAAAATATTCTAGATATAGCTGTCACAGTGACAACCACTCTGAGTGAAGATTATAGGTCTGTCACTACTGTCTAATGAAGTCCACACCTAAAATCCTTAGACTAGCATCAACCAAGGTAAAGCAAGTTATATCTTTATTATCTGAACACACCAGAAAGACTCTCAGAGGTCAGAGGGTATAGAAAAAACACATTTTAAAGACAATATTCAGGAAAAGATTTAACAGTATGTCACTACCATGATGTAACAAAATCACCACCAGTCATGGGGTAAGGGGAGATATCTCTAAGGAGAGCCCTCAACAAATACCACAATCTCACTGCAAGCTACCTCAGAAGGTGTGGAAATAAAAGGAGCTAGAAATTATTTTACAGATACAGAAGCATAGCACAGAAAGTAGCAACCATCATATTCTACATTCACAACTTGACACGCAAGCTTAAATCCTGTAACCTACCTTTGAAGATCAGTCACAGGTATCACAGACTTTAAGAATTCTTACAGTTCCATTTTTAGTGTGTATGCATGTATGTATGTATTTTAAAATTTCTAGACTGTAGGATTTTTTGGCAAGCAACTCTACTGTAGGAGCCTTAGATCTATACCATTTTTGTTGTGCACAGATTTTAGACAATTCTAAAGGTGATAGCACCGATCTTTTTCTTGAAATTGCTGGTTTGTATTTTAAAAGGGCAAAGCCTTAGCAAATAGTTACATTATCAAGATTTTTTAAACAGAAATTTTGAGGTTTTAAGGTTTTGTATAAATGATTTATTACACTGTAGATGTTCACAACATTTCACTGAATTTCACTGACTGACTTCACGAAAAAGCAAACACCTGACAAACACTGCAGCCACATCTCCTTATAAGCAGTATCAGAAGCCTACATTTAAAGGAGGATGCCTTGCACCTGTGCAAACATACTCATCACCATTAAATTACATGTATGCTTTATTATTTTATTTGCTTTTGTGAAATTCATTAACTTACACAATCCTCTAGTCTTCATGCAGAAAAAAAAAAAAATATCATTAAAACACAACAGAAAGCTAAACGTTCATCCAAGCTACAAGGCTGAGCCTTCTAGTAGTGTAGACCAGATAGAGCACTGACAGCCTTTAAGATGAAGCTGAATAGCAAATACATCTGTAGCCCTCAGAACTACCATATGCACTATGACTACTCAACACTCAACAGAGGTGTAAAATTGAAGTTTAAACACCAAAAATATAAAAAAAACCCAAAACTGTAGTAACTAATGAGGAATGTTTTTCTACTTGATTACACTGTTGTTCTAATTTTTTTTAAAAGTTACAGTGCAACCTCTACTTCTACATAAATCACATAGTACTAATGTGCAGAAACAGCTACCATTTAAATCCTTAGTTAAAATCTGGGAGTTTCCCCAACTACATTCTTCATCAGAAGCAATTCTGACAATTCTGATTTCCTCTCAAGGAAGGAAAGAATATTTGTAACTTTTTATTTTTCATTTTAGTGGAAATTAAGCTTTTCATTAGCCAAAGGATTTTTTTAAAAACAAAAACACAGCGAATATTGTTTCGCTAAGCAGTACATTTAAAGCCCCCTTTTGAGCAGAAGGATGCAGAGAAGTTCTCAAGGACTTGCCTGCTTAAGTGAAAGCCTGGTCATTTAGTCACATCAAAGGATGTTTGGGGACGACTTTCTTGGCACAGTGGCAGTTTAAGGCGTTCACAGTTCTTATTGTTTATTCTCACTCTGCAATCCTATCATGTTCTAGCACAGCTGAATGTCCCATTTCACTGAAAGGCTGTGCAAAGGTCTGCTACAGCCAAATACACCAGATTACTTTTCAGCTAGCTCAGTTCCTCGAGTCAGCTTCCCAAGCAGCTCTGCAGTAAGAGCTGTTTAATGATAGTACCTAAGCCCAATTAACGCAGATACAAACGATCCTACACTTCCCCTCTCATATTATCAGCCAGAGACTTCTGTCACTCCAGTTCTGGAAGGCACTACATAAGCCAATGTGAGTCACTATGATGGCTGAAAGCTAACATGGAAAAGTATCACATAATCACAGACCAGTTCAGGTTGGAAGTGATCTCTGGAGGTCATCCAGTACAACCCCCTGCTCAAGCAAGGCTGCCTACAATAAGCTGCCCAGGACCATGGCTAGGTGTTTTTTTAATCTCTCTTAAGAAGGGAGACTCCACAACTTCTCTAGGCAACCTGTGTCAATGCTCAATCACCCTCATAGTGAAAAAGTGTTTCTGATGCTCAGGAGGAACCTCCTGTGTTTCAGCTTGTGCCCATTGCCTCTCATCCTGTCACTGGGCACCAGAGAAAAAAGCCTTTGCACCCTCCCTTCTGTATCCACATGCATTAACATGATCCCTTCTCTGCTCCAGGTTGAACAGTCTCAGCTCTCCCAGCCCCTCCTCGTAGGATAGATGCTACAGTCCCTTAGCCATCCTTGTGGCTCTTTGTTGGACTCTCTCCAGTATGCCCAAGTATCAGCTGTACTAGTGAGACCAGAACCAGATCCAGCACTCCAGGTGTGGTCTCACCAGCACTGCATACAGGGGAAGGATCAATCACCTCCCTCCACCTGCTGTCAACATCTCCTAATGCAGCCCAGGAGACTATTCACTGCCTTTGCTGCAAGGGCACATTGCTCGCTCATGTTCAACTCGGTGTCCACCTTGACCCCCAAGGCCCTTTCTGCAACATTGCTTTCCGGATGGCCTGCCCTCAGCATATATTGGTGTATGGGGTTTTCCTTCCCAGGTGCAGGACTTGCACTTCTTGTTGAACAACATGAGTTTTCTCCACATTAGCAAGTTGAATCAACTTGCCTTATGATCAGATAAACATGAAAAAATACTTAAGAGAGACTTTGACTGAAGCTAGAAATGGAAAAGCACAAAGGGACAGAGGAAAAATAGACTTCACAATTGAATGGTGACAAGTTGTTAGGTTGGTTCTGCCATAATGTGAAACTGTGCTTTGCATCAACAGAACAAAAAAAGGTAAGCGAGGCACAGAAACAGACCGAGACTGCTTAAACAGTGCTGTCAGATATGCAACATAGAAGTATTTTGGTTTTCAAATTCAGAAAGTCAGGAAAATCTGGACCTTTACAAGCACAGGAAATTTAGAACCACTTTTGGGGTAGGTTTCTAACATTTGTAGTTTTACTTCCCAGGAAGATGAACTTAATCACAAATTACCCCTTCTTTGCAGTTGCTCTCTATGTAATACTACAGGTAACACTGACAACATGGGTCGATGTAACAACCCTTTCCCAAAGCACAGAACGCTCCCTGCTTCTGCAGCGTGTCCTGAAAGGAACATTCCTCTCCAAACACCAAGCGTAAATACATCAAGTGTTTCCTGAAAGCACCCTACTTGCTGCATAGAAGTGCATGGAATTCCATGATTCTAGGCACAATGTTTCTGATGAAAGCATCGAGGCCACTGCACAGCACAACATCAAGGTATTACACACAGAGAGTAATGTGGAATCACCTACAGAGAAGAAAGCAGCTATATAACTTTAAGCCCAGCAACATGTGAAAACCTTGAAAATCTTTCCAAACAAAAGTGCTACAGAGAAAAAAGGCAGGCCTAAAGAAAAAGTATGCATCAACTGAAAAAAAGGGCAGTCAGTTTATTTATGCAGTATTTGTACAGTCCTTTTGCCTTCCACAGTAACTCTAAGCCACTCTAACTCTCCCATTACATAAAGATATGCAACAAGTTAAGTTTCAGCTTCACTTTGCCTACATAAAGACAGCTGTATGTTCTTAATATTTATATAAATGAACAATTCATTCACCCAGAGCAATGCTCCATACCAACCGCCACCAAAAACAGAGTGACTATAGGTTTTACTTGTAGCAGTATGCATTTGGCAGCAGTGCAGATTCTCCAAACAAAATTCAAATCCTAACACTTAAGGACCAACCCAGTTATTTTGCCTGAGGGTGTTACTTTGTAATAGTGCTAGATTACCTTAGCAATGTTACTGAGCAACTGAAACAGACCCTTTGTTTTCCTTTCCTTTTATAAGAACCACCCCTGTCAACACATTTGCAGCAAGTCAGTCTTGCAACTGTCTTGCTAGTTTTTCAGAACTAACAAATAAGTAGAGGGAATAACAAAAAGCAAAAGAAAACAGTTCGTTACCAAGCTCAACTATAAAATAGAGCTTAAACACACTTTCAGTTATTTTCTTTTATTTTTACACAACAATCATTACAGTATTTTAGCTCTCGGAAACAACGCCAAATTACATTTGTAAAGAAAATACTTGGAAGGAAATACTACAGCCAGTAATGTCAACCAAAAGATTTGTGAACCATGATTCAAGACTAGAACAGAGAAATTGCACATATTGAAGCCGTGTGTATATTAAGTGAAGTTCTTTCTTCTTCTGGCCCTGATTTGACACATCTTCATTAGAACTATTCAGAGACTAGAAATCCAGTGCATATTTGACATACATATTTTGGAATGGAAGCAAGTGTCACATAATGCAGGATAATTAAAAGTTATTCAGAAATCCTGCTCCATGACTGGTTATTAGTTTAACCATAATTTTCTGAATAAAACATGGTTTAATTGATACAATTTGCCTTTATGGAGTTCAAGGCACAGAACATGCTTCTTACCTGTAATTGTTGATACTTTGTTACATTAATCTTATCTAACGATTTTGCCAAATCGGGATGATGGATAACATCACCTAAATCTTCTGTGTCTTCAGTTTCAGATGTAGAAGTGCTTTCTACTGTCACTTTCACAGGCATACCTGTCTAATTACATGAGAAAACACACCCACTCGCAGCATTATACTATGCAATAGAAATTCAAAGATTAAACAGTACCAAAAACTTAATTTAAATGCAGTCATTTCCCAGAGTCCCTTACAATGCATATGTATTGCCTAGCTATGCGATTTTGAAATAAACAATTAAGAAAAAAAAAATAAATCACATCTGTGCATAATACCTGGTACACGTGGCAACGATTTGGTGGCAGTGGGAGCCGCTTCCAGCCGACCCACAGCAAGACAGGGCTGGGCCTCACAGCCACGGGAAAGGCCTATTTCAGAAAGGGTGAAAAACTGCAGATAGGCAGAAGAGGAGGGAAGCAAAAGAGTGAGAAAGAGCAGAGGGAACCCCAGGCTCGGGGAAGGAGGAGGGGGACACCCACGCCCCAGCCCAGGGCAGACCCATGCCAGAGCAGAGGAGTGGGCTGCAGAAGGACAGCCTGTGCCAGAGCAGGTTTTCCCCAAGGGAAAAGCCACACCAGAGCAAGGGGTAAGTGTGCTGGTTTCAGCAACCATCAGGCCCTGCTGTGAGCCAATTTAATTCATAATTACACGCTAACACACTTCTCCAGCTTTTCTCTGGTGGGTGGGGTTGGGGGGGTTAGGGGGAGATGGACATGAGATGTAGAGAAAAAGGAAGAAAGAGAGGATTTTTTTTTCCCCCCTGCTGGTATGTTTACTGTAGCAGTTCAAAGATGGGTGCAAACAAGCATGTAGTCCAAAAGCAAAAGGAGGACAGAGAAGAAGAGGGAAGCAGAACATTTCAGAGAAAAACACTGTAAGTTATCCTTATTGCCTGTGGAGGAATTGTGCCTATAATCCAACCCATCTTGCTTATAAGGCTGAGAAACAAAAAGACAGTGGTACAAAAATGGGAGTAAAGTAAGTATCAGAGAAGTTTCAGCCAAATGCTGATGTAAACTATTATTTTGCATTTCTGTGAAGGTGAAACTTAAAAAGTGTGTCCCAGTCTTAACTTTTAGAAAATAAGACTCTGTTGAGAACACTCGACCCTTTTTCAGGCATTCATCTACCAAATAAACCATCATATGAGAGAGAAAGTACCTGAATCTTCACTGGTAAATCTTCAGTACTATCCACTGGCCCCCCTCTAAAGTTAGAAAAAAAACACTTGAGAAAAGTCGTTTTGTAAGGACACCATTGCTATTTCCATTTCCGAACACAGGATCAGGTGAAGCAGCAAGAGTAAAATCAGTATCAAACACTGCACTATATACCCTTAACATTCATTACATTCTCACTTTATCCTACTAGTACTCCAGATTAATCATAAATTAAAGCAACATTACTGGATGCTAACATTAATATGTTTAATAGGCATCTTACTTAGCTAATTACTATAAGAATTTGGTGTTCAGCATTTTGAAAAACAAGTTTAATAAAAACAGTTATGATAGAGCATTAAGTATTTTGTTGTTTAAATATTTATATAGCCTCCATTTTGAGAGGCTATGGTCTAGGGAATACCTTAAGAAAAAAAATACAAAACAAAAATTGTTTCAAAAGGGAGCATGATAATATTATGGCTTCCAAGTATAACAATTTTTTTTTTATTTTACTTTATGGGGCTTAGATGATCACAATAATCACACTGGCATTGGGCAAGACAGGGCAGAAAGAAGAAACAAAAAAAATACCTAGGCACCTTGAATTGCATGCCAAATCAACTATACTAGAAGCTTACAAAACTAAATTGCATCTTCAGCTATAAGTCTGATAAATCATTACTAAAGAGAACAAGCAAACAAGGTGCGTTTGGTAGTGGGGTTGTTTTTTTTCAACATCTGAATATTCCTATGGCCATCAAATTATATCTTTTTTGTATGTTTTAAAAACTTACTGGAATAAAATTTATGTAACATCCTCAAAATTTATATAAACAGAAAAAATTATGGATGCAATATGAAATTCTGTGTGCAACTTTCAAATATGTATTTTTAAAAAATAACACTTCTCTATACTATATTTATCATTCAGGTTTTATGCTTTAATGTTTTCCCTCATACTATGAAAACCTCACCTGCATCTCTTTGCACGTTCTGCAGTCCGCCAAGGAAGGAAGCCTTTTGTGCCTGGTGGTAGTGGTTTTGGTGAGTAACTATCTTTCACAGACGTATTTTTTTTCCCAGGGCTTACAGACTTTTTAGACGGTAATCCTGTATTGAACAGCAAAAGGTGGAAAATAGAGAATTCATTATACGTAGTTATTTAGATATAAATTCACGGCTTACTGTTCATAAGTAAAATCTCCTATGTAATAAAAGGGACTGTAGGAAATCTATTTTTTAGCTTACTTTTGCTAAAGTGTTCAAAAGTTTTATTTTGCTTCTCAAAAAGAGACAACTGCTTGCAATTATAAGCTGGTATACTTAGCTGCTATGTTACATTGATGTAAGAAAGACATACTATTATTCAAAAAAGGAAGCAAAGTTTTATAGCTAAAGACATTTGTTCACGTTACTAATTTCAGATAGCTAACTCCACTGTCTCAAGTAGGAGCTCAGACAGCCCACAGCCCATAGGGCTATCTATGTGCTTCAAACTGCCCTCTAGTGGCTTCAGTAGGAAGAACGTTCGTTTAGTAACTGGCAAAACGCTCGAAGCTCAAGCCGGTACCCATGGTGATCGCTGCTACACAACAACAGCAGTACCTTCACCGAGAGGAATAATGATGAAAAGTCGTGTTTGCTCGTCCAGTTTTTTGTCGTTGTTTAAATCATACACTAGCACTCAAAGTAGATTCAGAATAAATACCTAGTGTGGATGATCACTCTACGCCAACTTCTGTACAAGTCAGAAACTAACAAGCCTAGAAAACTGTTCACTTAGTATTTAAACTAGTGAGAACTCAGGTTATTGTTTCTTCAAGATCAATAAAGCAAGTAATTTTCTAATGATACATAAGTGCATAACTTATGGGATTCCAAATTTCAGGTCATTCTCAACCAGTACACAGACAGAGTAATCTTCACCTCCTGACTCCCTCCCTCTCTTTAAAAAAACCCCACAAACAAACCAAAAACAACCACAACTATATTTAAGTCAGGCATTTTCTTCTTCCATTAACTCTGATCAACCACAGTCTATTTGCACAAAGACTTCAATTTGATTTATGCTTACCCCTCTACTTCCAGATAACTGGAGCAAAGACAGCCAAATGTACTACAGTGAAATTTTTAGTAACTTACTGCAAAATATTTAGCGTGTTGCAGCTATCAGTACTTAATTAAAAATATTCAAGATACTTATGTTATTTTAAACATGCTATTTATAATAGGTTTATATGAAGTTAAAAAAAAAAAATAATAATCTTAGAACATTTTGTACATCAGTAAAAAAAACGCATGCTTGTTTGTCCTGGCAGAGGACAGTCTGCTACAGAAAGGTTACAACATTACTTGCTACCGCCAGGCTTCCTAGAAGTGAAAGTTTGTGAAGAGGATGTACTCAGAATAAATACATGCAATGCTTCCACATACTTAAGTCAGCATATCCTACCATTTTTCCAGCGACCATTTTTCCACCAAAGATCAAGTTACCTGCAGAAACCACTGATGGTAGAAGACACATTACTGAATTAAGAAAAAATGGAATTTTTTTTTGAAGACAAGTATTCTGTGGAACACTGATATTTAGACACATTGTGTATTTTATAATTAAAGCTCTCAAACAGTGAAATAGTATTTTGTAGACAAAATTTACCATAGTCAGAGAAAATAAAGACAGCATTACCAATACGAATAGTAGCTTTTCCTTTTCGACCACTTCCTAGGACAATAGTTCTTTTCCTTGGTCTAGTTTTCAAAGCATCCTTGGAAGATGGAGATGTCAGCCACTTATACTGAAGAATTTTTTTAAAGAAAGACAAATTTTTTTAGTAACTGATATTTAAAGACATGCTAATTTAAGATTAGAGGGTGTTTTTGTCAGATATATAGAGAACACTGCTAGTTACAGAAAGCTTAATAACAAACTGTAAAATTAAGGAAAAACAAAAAGCCCACAAAGCCCCAATTCAAACACAGATTCAATGCGAGTCCGAGTGCTACATTACCAGAAAGTGTTCCCAGAACACCACTATATCCCATCCAATATTTCCTTTCTCCTGTGCAAAACACTTCTCCTTTTATAGTAAAAAAAAATGGCATCAACCCTATAAAAAGGAAACTCTGGCTTTTGTTTTTCATTCTCAGAAAGCCGGCTTGCTAGGAATGACTGGCTCAGGCCAAAGTTCTCCAGAGTAATAAAAGCTTTTCTAATATGATTTTCATTACCAATAAAGCTAGTATTTTTAAAAATAAAAATTTTAATTTTCACTGCCTGTAATGAAAAATTCATCCTTGGACAGTAAAAGCCTCCTACCTAAAATTAAGACATAGTGATAATCAAAGGCAATTCCTGTAATTCGTTTCCTTGCATCAACAACTCTATTCTTAAAGGTTCCCCTTTAGCAATAAAAGTTTTATTATTCCAGGCAGATATTCTTATTTTTCAGTATGCATCAAGCTATAGTTAGTATGAAGCCTAGTGTTGAAGCAGCTGTCAAAGAAAATGCCGTTGGCACTAACGCAAAGCTTATCTCAGATGGCCCTAAAGCCCACATCAGTGTACTAGGAACAGTATACCAAACTTATTCCCACCTAATGCACAGAGAAGATTAAAATGCCATTACTGTGCTCAAACTAACCAAGTTTAGCCCAAGTTTATCATTGGCAAGAAAAGCTTTAAAAAAAACAAAAAAAAACCCACAAAAAAACCCACACAACAATAAAACAACCTTAGCACTCAAATAATCCTTGTAAAAGTTTTGCTGAGTATACAGCTGGATCTAGTCTCTGAGATAAGAGAACTGTTCATTTCAAACAAAAAAAACCACCACAGAGTAAAATAAAATTTCACTTCTTAAGTAAACTTCTCAGAGCAAGAGTATCTTCATTTTGGTTTATAACACGTATAAAAAAAAATAGGTTAAATCTAAAGTTCATTTAGCCCAGTAGCCTGCCTCTTGTCTAGGTGCCTGCCGCTGTTGTACAACATCTAAATATAAAGACAGCAGACATATTAAGACAGAGTTTAAAAATGACTAAGTCCTTGAGCTGAGACTATGAAGGCAACTTGTTTTATAAGCACCTTCAGTGGATTTTAAGTTATTCAGTCTCTCTCAGATTCTACCCAAACTTTCACCACCACTTAGGTGGTGGTGAAACCTTAACCTACAATCCACTATAACTACACAGTGCTGACCGGAGTAATACAACTTTCCTCTGTTCTAGCTGCCCACCAAATTTAAAGGCATCAATTAGCAGTAGGCAGCTCTTGCAAACTCGAAAACCCAACCCAAAAGGCAAGCACCTCCATACTATTGAAAAGCAAAGAGAAAGAGCCAGTTATTACACAGAACAGGATGGGAGGGCTGCTGTGACTGACACCCAGTAAGCAAGTGGTGACAGTTCATTACAGGCTATCCGTGGCAGCCAAGACGTGACCTTTTGTAGTTGTGATGGTTAATTATTACGAGGCCATTCAAAAGCCCACCAAACCTCTCTTCGTACAGCAACACAGCAGCATTTTCTGCATAAGCAAAACCATGGAGTTGACACAACAGGTGCCATGGTGAGTTGGTACAGAATGCAGCTCTGCCAGCTCTCAGATACATAAAAACACTTTGCTGAGTTTTACTCATGGCAGCTACGACAGTTAGCTTTTGGTAGGACAAAAAGCTGAAACCAGAGGCAGAAGAAACTGGAGGCAGAACTAAGGATGATCATCCATGCAACTCTTTAGTTATCTATCTGTGGGTGAGATATAGTACGAGTTAGATCACTTGCTGCAAGAGTAACCAATATATTAATTTCACACAGAAAATTACATCTTACACCTTGTGTTCAAGAAGCCTTTAGACATAGGCTAAACATAGTCCAATCTATTCTTCATTTTCTATCAATATGAAATCCAGACCTCCAGCAACTAAAATAGGTAAAAGAAACAAAAAATCCCTACTAAATTAAATACTTTCAGAGATAGATACCCATGTTTTCTCCACTACAAAAAACGTACCAGCACACTTTTAAAGCCTCAAAGGTTTGGAGGCAGTACACAGATGATAAAAGGAAACAATCTAGATGCTGACTATGTTCTGTCTCTCAATCTTAAGTCACAACAAACAAACATTGCTTCTTTAAATTTGTGAACTTAGTCTATAATGGATCCTCTGTTAAAAAAAAAAATCATAGAAAATCTGAAAAATAAGTGAAATTTTTGTATTCAGCAAAACCCTGTTAAAAAACTAATTAGTGTTATTTGCATAAAGAATTTAAAGTATGTCATTAGGACTCTCACAAATACACTGGAATTATTTCTGCTTGTGTTACCTTTTTTAATCATACAGCTGAATTGTCTATTAACAGAATGAAGAAGCAGTGCTTGCAGTTCTTTCTGCAGCAGAGCTTAATGACCAACTGTCTGTCTTCATTAACACCTCTGACAATTTACTAATATATTCCCTGAGTTTTGAATCCTAAAAAAAAAAAAACCAAACCAAAACAAGAAAACCCACAAAACAACACGCCACCAACACCCACATACAACAAAACAAAACCCCACATTGCTAACTTTCAATATAGAGCACATCAAGACACTACCTCAAAGAAATTCAACTGGTTTTCCCTTCATAATATTCAGACTTCTGTAACTGAGCTCAAAACCAATCGTAAATCCCAGATTAGGGTAGTAAATGTTTCAGTATCAAAAGAATATCAACCTCAACATTAAATGTTTGCATTCATCTTGCTAAACAGGTGGATTATCCCTTTCTGAGTGTCCGCACAGTTCCCATGATAAATATACAACAACCTACTCCCAGAGCTTATGAAAAAATGGTCCCAGACTGCTTTTATTAGTGGAAGAAGCAAAGTTAGTTAGCAAACTGGCAGTCAGTCCTTTTTCATGCCTATTATTAAAGAGATATGAAGAATTACTAGCTTCACCACTAAGACTTAAGATATTGTACTGCCTGGATAAATACAAAACAAATGCCTTTAGTGATCTTGCAGTATATGGGAGATTTCCCAGACAGCTGCTTGTTTTCATAGTTCAGCTTTCCAATCATCTTGAGCATCTCCAGGTAGATGCTATTTTCACGTGATCCCTGCAACATTTTGAAAGTGTTGATTGCATCTGCCAAGGAAAAACAGTACTCTACTCTTTCACAACTTTTAAGCCTTTTCAAAACAAAAAGACCAGTAAGTTCTAGAACAAGAACTGGGATTGCTGCAGCTCTGTGAAAACAACAAAAGCACACTCAGATATTTGCTGTCTCCTCTGGGAACTGAATACGATTTCTGTGTTATAAACAAAAGACTCAATATTTAAACAGTATATCTAATCATAAATGGTCCAGATATTCAGTTTATGCACATTACTGTAAACTCACTGTGGACTATTAGATAAAAATAGCAGGTACTGTACTTTAGCTAAACTAGTTTCTTAGATAGTTAGCATTGGAAAGGATAGTCTTGAGTAACTTAAAAAAGTCTTAACTCTGTAAATTATTGACAAAAAATAAATTTCAAAATAAATTGTTTTAAAATTTAAGTTGTTATTTTCTTTACTTTCTAATGAAAAGTTATTATTACTATGTTAACAATACAAGTCTTAGAAAGCCTTCAGGCAGTTCAGCAGCAATATTTGCTTAACATTCTACATAATGCTTAAGTACACACACAGTTCCATTTTTCTTTCCATTAAATGGATATCCTGGTTTTATTATACATTGCATCTAAATTACATAAGAAATCATGCAAAATGCCAAATACAATATCATGTTGTTGCTAGTGTTTTTAGTTTTTCCCTTCATAGTGGTTTTTTGTTTGTTTTTTAAACTGCTTAAGAGTCAAACTTCCATTTATAACTAGAATAGCTATTTTAGATTTATTCTGAACAAAGTTCTCCTTAAAAAAAAAAAATAAAAATGCAATGGCAGATACTAAGAAAACCCCAAACAGTCCAAAATGCCTAACACATACCTCCAAATTGGCACCATTTCCATTCATAACAACTCTTTCAATAATGTTTTTCATCATAACGTGATCTAGAATGAATTAAGATATCTTATTAAGAATTTCCTGTATGAGGCAAGTATTTACACAAACAGATCATTGAATAAGCAGTACACAATACCTACCCTGCTCCCTTCCCCCATTTTAACAATGGTTAGCAAAATACTGTTGCAGGTGTTTTCCATAAAAATTTCCTTAAAAACTTTTCCCCGTGAATTACTGGGGGAAAAAACAACAACAACAAACAAACTACAGCCACAAAGATGACGAAGGTAGATAGATACAAATACGTACCAATTAATGGATTTTTTCTTATGTCAAGTACCACTAATGTGGTATTAGTTTGAAGAGCATCTAATAATGACCTTGCTCCTTCACTGGATATTCCACACTGCTGCAAATCAAGTGCTGAAATGTTTAAGGAGGTAAAAAAAATAATGTTCAGTGTTGTAACCTGTAGTCAATATCTAACAGAACTAATCCACACCTACTGAAAACCTCCATTTCATAGAACATGAAGCATCAGAAAAGACGACATAGCAATAACAGTCATATGTAAAACCAAGAATATTACTTTCAGAGAAGAAAGCTGGACATTTAAATCAGTATTATAGATCAACATAAAGAAATATCTGCTAAACAACTGCAAAGGATGGAATATAAAAACAGTGATGGTTAAGTCACTGTTCTTGACAATTCCTAGTAGCCTAATATTCCCAGGCACCATTAAATTCAATTGCCCATGGTAACATCAGATGTATAAACTCACAACTTAGATTTAAAAGTCTGAGCCAATGCTTCTACAAGTTCATTGCTTGCATACATCAATAAGATACGTGGTTACCATGAAATAGCACTATCAGGGTTTGTCATTTATTTCATGTTGTACATGTTGCACAGTACCACAGACTGGTTGATGTTGGAAGAGACCTCTGTAGGTCATCTTGCTGAATCACCCCTGCTCAAGCAGGATCACTTAAAGCCAGTTGCCCCATGCCATGTCCAGACAGCTCTTAAACACCTCCAAGGATGAAGACTCTACAATCACTGTGGGCAACCTGTGTCTGTGTTTGGTCACCCTCACTGTAAGAAAGTGTCTTCTGATGTTCAGGAGGAACCTCCAGTCTGTTTGCCCTGTCGCCGGGCACCACTGGAAAGAACTGGCTCCACCATCCTTAAACCCTCTTTTCAGATACACCTTGCAAAGACCCACCCTGAGCCTTCTACTCTCCAGGCTATACAGTCTCAGCTTCCTCAGCATTTCCTGAAAGAGGAACTCCTGAGAGTTGCTCTAGTCCCTTCATCATCTTAGTGGCCCTTTGTTGGGCTCTCACCAGTAGCTCCAGCTCTCTCCTGTACAGGGAAGCCTAGGCGTGGCCTCACCAGTGCTGAGTAGAGGGGAAGAATCACCTCCCTCAACCTGCTTGCAAGTCTTTGCCTAATGCAGCCCAGGATAACATTAGCCTTCTTTGTCACAAAGGCACTTGGGCTGGCTTATGGTCAGCTTGCTGTTCACAAGGACCTTCAGGACTCTTCCTGCAAAGCTACTTTCCAGCCACACAGCGCCCAGCATGTTCTGGTGTGTGGAATTATTCATGCCCAGGTGCAGGACTTTGCAATTCCTTTTGTTTAATTTCATGAGATTCTCGTCAGCCCATTTCTTAAGCCTGTTGTCCCTCTGGACAGCGGCACGCCCCCACCTTCCCAGGGATCCAGGCAAGGCTGACTGGCCTATAGTTTCCTAGGTCCTTCTTCCCAGCCTTCCTGAAGGTAAGAGTGACATTTGCTGTCTTCCAGTCCTCAGGCATCCTTCCCAATCACAACAATCCTTCAAAGATTATTGAGAGCGGCCTCTAAATGACAGCAGCCAGCACTTGTGGAGACATCCCATCAAGGCCTATGGACTTCTGTATGTCCAGGTTGCTTAAGTATTCTCTACTCTGATCCTCTTGCATTAGTTTACATGTTATCTGTACACCTGGGTCAAACTATAAAACAATTTCAACAGGTAAGTATATGATTCCAGAATGCTATGACTTACACCACCAACATTAGACATTTTGCACAGATATACTGTAGAAAAAATTACTTCTTGAAAATTCTAGAGGACAATACTAAATGACACAATAGTATTCAGACACTTTGACAATTCAAAAGAGGAAGAGAAATTTAAATTTCTTTTGAAAAAAGATTACTCTTTCCTAGTTAAATAGTTATTTACTCTTCTGGTTCCATTTGTTATAACTGACAATTTTAAGTTTTCTGCTTGCCTCTACTGTATCTTAAGAGTCAGTATTTCACAATACCTTTTAGCCAAAGGTCCTCTGCTAGACAGTCTGCAAAGGCACTTGCTCCTCTATCTCCCACAAGCATGTTGCAGTTGAAAGTAATCCGCCTCAGGCCAGTCATATATTCCAGGTCAGGTCTCCTGTAACGTAGGCTTTCAGCCCAGGCTTCACCATGTCTTTTCATTGCCTGGTGCTTTGCAAACAAAGACACTGTTACCAAGTGCAAAGGCAAAGCCATTATTGATTACAAGACGACCACCGGTTATCTTTCTGACTGATGTTTAATGGCTTGAGTGCTGGTATGACAAACACAGTTATAACATTTCTGAGTTCAAGAAATACATGTCATTCTTAAACATTACAATTAAGTCATGTTCGTTCTGATTATCCAGTTTGCAATGCAAATTATTGAACATGGCTACAAAACATCTTATTACCTTATTTTGGCATCTTATTCAATGCATCTTGAATAGGAAATACACACTAGGAAATTATGTGCTTTCATGTAAAGCAATGTTAACATTAATTAGAATATTGTACTTGTCACAAGCTTACTAATCAGTAGCTTCTAAACTGTAAACTCAATTATTCTTACCCGTTGCTTAAGCGTATTTAAGACATTTTTCAAAATTTGTGACAATGAAAGAAGCACTCCCCAAAACAGGTGTCAGGCATTCGTAGCCTTAATTGCCATTTAAATAAAATACATTAGTCTGAACTGTTATGTGTTTAACTGATGTTTACTAAGAAACACCATATTTAAATCCCACATCAAGCTACTTTTGGCATACAAAGTCACAAATTTCAGAAGGGCTATTCACATACTTAACTTCAGTGTTCACATAGGCTGCTCACAAAGTGCTTTGAAAGTAGATTTAGAGCTTGGAAGTGAAAGAAAAAAAACCCCAAGCATACTTAAATTCTTGTGAACATTTGATTCTAGAAAAGGTGTTTAAATTACCTTTAAGACATTTGCTACATGTTCTGCCCCTCGCCATGTGAGGCTACATCCTGTGAAGTTTACATATCTGATAGTAGCTGAATTCTTTACGCTCTGACAGATTGCTGAAGAAAACAAAAGCATGCATGTTATCTACCGCACACCACAGCCAGATTATCAGAACACACTTTTCAACTGCCAAATTAGGAGGCTGAATCAGCTTTAACAGGCAAAAGCCTTGACAAAGAACTAGTGTTGAAATACAAAGTATATTTTAAATATATATAATCTTAGAACGCTTTAAATATATCTAGCACAAGTAACGACTATCTGACCATGCTAGAACATATTTAATTTCAGTTTACTTCTATAAACATGAACAAATCAAGGAAGAGTTAGCCTCAAACGCATATTATGACTGTTGTTTTAAATAAGAGTATAAATATATCATTATAACTGAGCGTGGCTATTCACTTGCATCAAGTGAAGAAATTCAAGTCTTTAAATGTTGTTAACTCATGTACAATAAAGATTGTTATTGTAATCACTATAGACCAATTTGAAACAGGAATGGAAATACTGAAAAAATTTCTTACCTATTTAAAGGACTAAAAAAAGAGAGAAGTATATTTAGACACTTTCAATTCTGAACTTACTTTCTAATCCTCCATCTCCAATTGGACAGTGGGCCAAAGAGACACTCTCCAGAGATGCAGCTGCGGCCAAGCCCTTCAGAATAAAAATGTTTGTTCACTGGCTTGAAAAGCAAAAATACAAACTGAAAAAAGACCCAGTCACCCAAACTGCTCAGAACTCTTTGTACTCCCTACAAGAAACTCTAGGGGTTTCAGAGGAAGGTTAAAACAAGCAAACCTTAAAGCTTAGTTTTAGCAGGTTCATTTCTTCAGCACAGGAGAAGCTTTAGACTATAGGCAACAAGTAGCAACCTCCATCCCTAGAAGCCACTCACAAGCAAACTGGAGAGTGTTCCAACGCATCTCAAAGGCCCGTTTTTATCTTAGTGTCCCACAACTTTCCTTCTGTCATGCACATGCACGGTAGTTTCGGTCATAAGCACGTTATACACCCCAAACACATGGCAGAAACATTGCTAAGAACTTTCTAGTAAGCCTTGATGAATCTGGGCAAGGAAAGGTTATGTCATTTTGACAGGTTCAGCAAGACTAGGTTATACTAAATGTCTCAGTGGAATCATTCATATGGTAGACAACACAGATATCTTAGAAGGGGAACATCCTTGTACATGATAAATATTTATAAAATTTATTTGCTACTTCTCTACGTTCTAAGGATATTTTCCATTTATTTGTATACTAATATATTCTCACCTTTGTTAAAAGTATTAGATCTCTCTCCCTCAGAAGCAAACCCTGCAGTTCTAAATTTTTTAGTACATCTGATATACTGAGACAGCCTTTGACAGCTTTGCATAGTTGGCCAGTCAAGTCTTTTGATCGAATTGCTGGAATTCTCCTTCTAAAGTAAGTTTTATATCTTTCAACACCTAGTAAACAACAGAAATTACACATCAGTAAAATCCAGTCCCTATTGACTTAAAAGCAATCATAATCACACCTTGCTTTTTTTCTGCTTTTGTTAAATAGAAATAATTCCTTAGGTATTATCATTCCTCCCCCATGTACTCAATCAGACAAAAGATTTGTGCAACAAATTCTAACATGCATACATCAACATACTTATCTTTTAGAGCTGTCACTACAAACCTGATTCTCCAAGACCCTGTTGATGAAAACTTCTTATTCCAATAGAAGTCAGAGTCTTATTATGCCTGATAGCATTCAGAAGCGGTACCAAATCAGCAGCTTTGATTCTATCTACAATTAGATCAAGAGCACTCTGAGCCAGGTTAGCCTTCACAGCTTTCAGTGGGACAGAGCCTTGAAGAGCACATAGATGTTCATAATGCGAGTAGAAATCCAGCAAGCACTGTCTTCTTATTTTGACTGACTCAATCATTTTTTTTATGAGATAAATGTCTCTCTAAAATAAGGGAGGGGAAAAAAAAAAGACATTAACATGCAATGTTATAATTGATTTTGCAACAATCTCAACTCAACATGCACACCCAAAACATGAATATGTTCATGCATATTGTATTACATGTCTTTGACATGGCAGCTGACAGTCATGTCTTGTGATGCTCACTACCTGTGTAAGTACAGCTGAATAAATAAGGGGGTAGGGAAAAAAAAACAACAAACCCTGCATTTTTATTCTCCCACACAAATAGGTATATTCAAAACACAAAAGGCCTAATGTTCAAGCACTAACTGCTGTAAAGCTCTTGTTTTCCTCTTAAAATTTAATTTCGTAGTGCAAGGGTCTGCAGAATCCTGAAAGCCTTGGACACTCCCTGACCCAACATCAAGGGATACAAATGACTATTCCATAAACAACTAGTTGGGAGCTTCTCTGCTACTTCAATCAAAAGCCTAAATTTTCATCATACAGAAATAATGTGTTTTCCTAAACATTTTTGCTATTGCATACCTTATGTACTTATCTTAGTAAATTTAAGAAAGCACTTTTCAGGCTTAAGTCTTTCCTACACCTTAGTACCCATATAGCAAAACTAGAACTCCCAACTCGAATCTCTAAATTCTGCTCTGACACACCTATTAAGAGTAATTCATTCCACAGCGTCAATGGGAATAACTGTCAGTATATTTAGAGGACCCATTTATTTATCTATTTATCTACTACTCAAGACAGCATTAAGTATCCCACATGGGATATCAAACAATCTTCACATTGCAAACATCTTTTCATATTGTAAAGACTAGAAAGCTTCAGCTGATCATCTGAAACACTGATGTCAACATGGGACAAGAATTATTGGATATGTACAAGCATGTGAAGACAGTCATTTGTAAGAATACAACTTGGAAAAAAAATAATCACATTATTAGTAATTGGATGACTGAAACGATAGTAACAGGAATAGAAACTCAAATAATAGTTCCTCTATGCAGGAGTATTTATGCAGTAATGACACTTCAGCTCCAGGAAGTGACCATCAATTGTAAAGCACCACTGACTCCAGGTGACGTATCAATGTACAACATACTAGCCTTTTATCCCCAGAGCTTAGCAATATTCTTTCACGGTGGGTTTCATTACAACACCTGAACACCACACCTCTAACTGAAGTAAAGAAAGGAGCTCCTGGCCCTAGCACTGAAGTTTAACCCACTTGCAGGTAGAAAACTAATCAGACCCACAATAACTTTCAACTGAGAAACAACTATGTAAACTAGAACTCTTCTGCATGGAAGTTAGTGCATCTGTCACAACCCTAGGATATCTTGAGTGGCTCTGAGCATGTATACAGGGGAAAATTATTTACTATCTCTCTCAATAGAGAGAGGTGTTGGTCAACTGTTGGCTGAACATGAGCCAGCAGTGTGCCCAGGTGGCCAAGAAGGCCAATGGTATCCTGGCCTGTACCAGGAACAGCGTGGCAAGTAGGACCCAAGAGGTGATCGTCCCCCTGTACTGGGCACTGGTGAGGCCTCACCTCGAGTACTGTGTCCAGTTTTGGGCCCCCTACCACAAAAAAGACACTGAGGTGCTGGAGCAGGTCCAGAGAAGGGCAACGGAGCTGGTGAGGGGTCTGGAGAGTAAGTCTTAGGAGGAGAGGCTGAGGGAGCTGGGGTTGTTCAGTCTGGAGAAGAGGAGGCTGAGGGGAGACCTTATCGCGCTCTACAACTACCTGAAGGCGGGGTGTAGAGAAGCAGGGACTGGTCTCTTCTCCTAAGTCACAGTGATAGGACAAGAGGAAATGGCCTCAAGTTGCACCAGGGGAGGTTTAGATTGGATATTAGGAATAATTTCTTCATGGAAAGCATTATCTAGCACTGGAATAGGCTGCCCAGGGAAGCAGTTGAGGCACCATCCCTGGAGGTGTTCAAAAGATGGGTAGACATGGTCCTCAGGAATACGGTTTAGTGATTTTTTTAATTGCTTATTTCTTATTTATTTTTTGACAGAGTTAGGTTGACAGTTGGACTAGATGATCTTTAAGGTCCCTTCCAACCTAGACGATTCTATGATTCTATGAATACAGAAGCAAGAAGACACCAGGTAATAGTAACCACTGACAAATTAAAGGGTTGTGTTTGGTTTGGTTTTTTTTTTTAAAAAAAAAGGAAACAAAAAACGTAGAAAACCCGGAAAATCCAGTTCCCATGCTAAGAGTTTTTAGGAAGCTGTTAAGCTTATAGCGGTTCAGCAAACAGGAGGCACCTAAACCCCGCGCCAGAGCCCTGGGCCCGGCGGGGGAAGCCTGGCAACCAGCTCTCCCTCGGCTGATGCACTTCGCTAAGCACGGCCTGCCCGGGCCGAAACACATCTGACTTGACCCGCAGGGCCACCGCATGGGAGTTTGTACCGCAGCACCCGCAAACAAACAACTCCGGTTACGATCGGGGTAAACCAAGGCTTTTTATCTTTCACCCCGTCAATCCCGCCACCGACCCGGGGAACCACGTCGGGGCCCCGCTTCCCCAACAAAGCACACCGCTGCGCCGCCGTGAACCGGGGGCTGCGCCGCCCGCCATCACCCACGGGGGTAGAGAGGAGGGACAGGAGCGGCGACCGTAGCTCCCCCCGCCCCGGCCGGTCCCACCCTCCCAGGAGAGGCCTCAGCCCGCCCCCGCCCGCTCCTCCACCACCGCGACGGAGCTACCCGCCTTCTCCCCGGGCCCGCTGGCCACCGCCAGCTCTTACGGCAGCCGCCGCCTCCGCGCCGTCTCCCCCGCCGCCGGCCCAACAGCCACCACGTGGCGCGCCGCCCCGATTGGCCGCCGCCCCGCCAGCCCCCCGCCTGCCACCGTTCAAAATGGCCGCGCCCAACGGCTGCTCTTCACCGCGGCTACCCGCCCTCCGAGAGGCGGGGCTGCCCGCGGGGTGCCCCGCCCCGGGCTCAGCGGCTACGGCGGGAGGCGGCCCCCAGGGCGTCGGTGCCGGGACCCCCCTCACGGCACCAGTGAGGTGGTGGGGCCCGCCCTCCCGCTCCCCTTTCTCCCCTGCGGGCGGGCGCCGGTGTCCCAGCGCAGCCCCGCGCTGGCCACCGCCAGCTCTTACGGCAGCCGCCGCCTCCGCGCCGTCTCCCCCGCCGCCGGCCCAACAGCCACCACGTGGCGCGCCGCCCCGATTGGCCGCCGCCCCGATTGGCCGCCGCCCCGCCAGCCCCCCGCCTGCCACCGTTCAAAATGGCCGCGCCCAACGGCTGCTCTTCACCGCGGCTACCCGCCCTCCGAGAGGCGGGGCTGCCCGCGGGGTGCCCCGCCCCGGGCTCAGCGGCTACGGCGGGAGGCGGCCCCCAGGGCGTCGGTGCCGGGACCCCCCTCACGGCACCAGTGAGGTGGTGGGGCCCGCCCTCCCGCTCCCCTTTCTCCCCTGCGGGCGGGCGCCGGTGTCCCAGCGCAGCCCCGCGGCCAGGCTTTCCCTCAGGCCAGGCTTTCCCTCAGGCCAGGCACCCCGCGGCCGGCGCCCGAGGAACCGGCAAGGTACGGTCGGCTCTTACGGTATTAAATGCTCCCGCGGAGGGCGGGGAAAGCCTAATGAATGCTTTCCTTTCTCCCCCGTCTCCAGGTGAGCGAAATGTGTCTTGAGAACCCAGCCGGGCTGGAGGGGTCTAACTCGGATCACTGCCCGCTGGACACTGGGGCCAGCAGCGTGCCCGGGTGGCCGACAAGGCCAACGGCGTCCTGGCCTGTATCAGGAACAGCGTGGTGTCCCGGTTTGAAGTCAAACCAGATCAATTTTGTGATCTGTAACTTTACATTTCAGCTAGGCCTCTTCTAACTCTCTGGAATTAATGGCGTATTGTGGAGAAAACTGCTCATTCTCAGTGATAAGACCAATGTTTGTGCTACATGCCAGGGAATGGTATGCAGAGAGGCCTTTGCTTATACTTATTGCTATAACAACCAAGGCCAGCCAATTTTCGTTATTTGCCCCTTAGAGGGTCAGAAATGGAAAAACGTAGAGGGGTCACATCTGTGGGGAGGAACGGACAGGACAGGTGACCCAAACCTGACCAACAGGGGTATTCCATCCCATCTGCCCCATGCTCAGTATAAAAGCTGAGGGATCAAAGGGTCAGCTCTCTTCCTGCAATGGCCGACGTCCAAGGAGGACCCTGTCAGTTCATCTGCCTTTGATCCTGATCCATGTGTTCCTTACTCCAGAGCTGGAACCCAGTTCCCATCCATCACTGAGTCCAGGCTGGGACTTCCCCAGTGCCTGCTGGTGATGGGACTGTCATCCTGGGAGCTTGATACGGTTTTGTATATATTGTATCTATTTCATTATTTTCTTCTCTCTTTTTTTTATTTTTTAATACTAATTTTTCATTAAAGTATTTTAGTTCATTCTGAACTTTTGAATCTCTTTATTTCTTCCTCTCCTCTTTCGGGGGGGTGGGGGGGTGGGGAAGGGCCATCTGTTGGTCCAGTTGCAGTGATTTCAGCTGAAACCACGACACATGGCTAGCAAGAGTAGGGAAGTGGTCATCCCCTGTACTCGGCACTGGTGAGACCCCACCTCTAGTACTGTGTCCAGTTCTGGGCCCCTCACTACAGGAAGGACATTGGGCTGCTGGAGTGTGTCCAGAGGAGAGCTACCAAGCTGGTGAGGGGTCTGGAGAATAAGTCCTGTGAGGCAAGGCCAAGGGAACTGGGCATGTTGAGTTTGGAGAAGAGGAGGCTGAGGAGCCCTCTACAGCTACCTGAAAGGAGGTTGTAGAGAGGTGGGTGTTGGCCTCTTCTCCCAAGGGAATAATGACAGGAGCAGAGGAAATGGTCTGAAGTTGCTGCAGGGAAGGTTTAGATTAGATATCAGGAAGAATGACTTTACTGAGAGAGTGGTCAGGCACTGGAACAGCCTGCCCAGGGAGGTGGTGGAGTCACCATCCCTGGAGGTATTTAAGAAATGTGTAGACATGGCACTTCAGGGCACACTCTAGTGCCCAGGATTGTTGGTTTGTGTCTGTGGGTGGGTGTGGTTTTGAGTTTGGTTGTGGTTTTTGGTTTTGGTTTGGTTTTTTTTTGTGGTTGGACTCGATGATCTCAAAGGTCCCTTCCAACCATGAATATTCTGTGATTCTGAAAAGACAGCAGCGGTTTTAGAGAGAAACTGTACAGCTAAACGGAAACTACAAGCGATAGGACAAGAGGAAATAGCCTCAAGTTGCACTGGTGAAGGTGTAGATTGGACATTAGGAAAAATGTCTTCACTGAAAGGGTTATTGAGCATGGAACAGGCTACCCAGGCGAGTGGTGGAATTGCCATCCCTGGGGGCGTTTAAATAACGGGTAGATCTGGTGCCGAGGGACATGGTTTAGTGATGTTTTTTGTCAGTGTTAGGTTGGTGGTTGGACTCTATGACCTGAAAGTTCCGTTCCAACCTAGAAAACTCTATGATTGATTCTACGATTCTACTGTTTCTTAAAAAAAAAAAAAGCTTTAAGTGCAGTTCTAGAAGAAAACAAACATACAGTCCTTCAGCATGTCATTGTACACACTGTACAGCTTTACTGTCAGCAATGTGTACACAAAAGGAGCTGTACAAATAGTGGAACATTTTGAATTACAGCAGGAGTTGCAGATGGCTGGGCTCGGCAGTCTGAGGGAGAGGAAACAAACTCCTCTTTCACAGCTACGTTTCTCATTAGTTTGCTAGGTTTGTTTACGCAGACATGACTTCAGATCAGAGTGGTTTCACTAGCATTGTGGAGAGCACTACAAGGTGCAAAATGATTCAAATGTAGTCGAGATTGTAGAATTTTTATTTCATTCTAAAGGGCTGGAGCACCTCTCCTGTGAGGACAGGCTGAGACAGTTGGGGTTGTTCAGCCTGGAGAACAGAAGGCTTCTAGGAGACCTTATAGCGGCCTTCCAGTACCTAAAGGGGACCTAAAGGAGGGAGGGACTCTTCATCAGGGACTGGAGCCATAGGATGAGGGGTAATGGTCTCAAATTGAAAGAGGAGAGATTTAGATTAGGTATTTGGAAGACGTTCTTTAGTGTGAGAGTGGTGAGACACTGGAACAGGTTGCCCGGAGAAGCTGTGGATGCCTCATCCCTGGAAGTGTTCCAGGGTGGATGGGACTTTGAGCAACCTGGTCTAGTGGGAGGCATCCCTGCCTGTGGCAGGGGGGCTGGAACTCGAAGATCTTGCTGATGATACCAAACTGGGAAGGGTGGCTGACACCCCGGAGGGCTGTGCCACCAGCCAGCGAGACCTGGACAGGCTGGAGAGCTAGGCAAGGAAGCGCCTCATGAGGTTCAACAGGGAAAGGTGTAGGATCCTGCACCTGGGGAAGAAGAATGTCAGGCACCAATACAGGTTAGGTGTGGACCTGCTGGAGACAAGTTCTGAAGAGAAAGATCTGGGGGTCCTGGTAGACAGCAAAATGACAATGAGCAACAGTGTGCTCTTGTGGCCAGGAAGGCCAATGGAATCCTGGGCTGCCTAGGGAAGAACGTGGCTAGTAGGTCGAGGTCCCCCTCTACTCTGCACTGGTGAGGCCACAACTGGAATACTGTGTCCAGTCTCCCTAGTTCAAGAGGGACAAGGAGCTACTGGAAAGTGTCCAGTGAAGGGCAACAAAGATGATTCAAGGATTGGAGCATCTCCCTTATGAAGAAAGACTGAGAGAGCTGGGACTCTTTATCCTGGAGCAGTGAAGGCTGAGGGGAGACCTGTAAGTACCTAAAGGGTGGTTTGAAGGAGGAGGGAGCCAGACTCTTTTCAGCAGTTGCCTGGGAGAGGATGAAGGGTAACGGCCATAAGTTGGAACATAGGAGGTTCCACTGAAATATGAGAAAAAACTACTTTACAGCGAGGGTGAAGGGCCCTGGAACAGGCTGTCCAGGGAGGTTGTGGAGTCCCCTTCCTTGGAGATTTTCAAGACCCGCCTGGATGCTCCTGAGTAACATGCTCTAGCTCTAGGCAATCCTGCTTCAGCAGGAGAGTTGGACTAGATGATCTCTATGGTCCCTTCCAACTCTAAAAATTCAGTGAAATTCAGTGAAATCTTTAAGGTCCCCTCCAACTCTAACCATTCTATGGTTGGGACACCAGCCACTTAACCAAATTGCTCTTAGTCATCAACTTATGGTAATCATTTTCGTATTTGAAAAGTTACGCTTCTAGTCTGCTTGTAGGCAGCAGGATGTGAACTCTAAAGCTGAGCAAACTTCAGAGAAATCAAACAGATTAAGGCCCTTAGAACACTGTGAGGACACTGTATGGTCACACAGATGTAATACCACACACTGTCTTTAGCTGACAATGGAAGCAACTGAAATAGCCTGAGTGCTATAATCAAGTGTGTCAGAACAAGAATTATTTCAGTAAGTGCTGAAGTAAGTCCGTACAAGTCGTTTCACTATGACATTTTGTGAATCAAATATAAAAGGCAAGGGACACAGGGCCATAATCAGCCAAATGGCAACATCAGTTTTTCCTTTCTTGACTGTATGACAAAATATTTCTGCTGCTTATTGTGCCTCTGGATGCCACAAACTGAACTCAAGCAAAATAAATGTAACTATTCTCAAGAATCTTTACTTCTAAAGATTTACTCTGTGTGCTACTTCGTTAAATCACTTTTGAACAGGTAGGGAGTTAATGAGTAGAGACTTCACTGCTAATCCACATGCATTTGGAGTTTTCTATTTTATTAATATGTCCATAATCACTGTTGTATAATCACTGTTGTACTTTTTTTTAATTGCTTTCTCATCTTA